CGTCGAACAAACTCTAGCATATGTCTCAACGTACAACAAAACAACCCAGAAATATTCCCAGAAATCACAAAAATCTAGATTTACTTAGCAAGAATAATAAACTGAATAATATACTAAAAACAACCAAAATAATTAGAGCAAACGCCAATCTAGAAACCTAAAACACATATTAACCTCATCTAAATTTAGTCAACACAAAATACAGGAGTCACAAAATGCAACAAAAAAGATGTGGAGTTTGTGACATCATTATAGAAGGAAACTCTACACTTTTGAAAACCAAAAAAACATTCACAATAAACAAAAACTTAAACTGCAACTCCAAAAATGTAGTTTATGCACTTAAATGCACAAAATGTAAGAAGTCATATATAGGCATCAGCCAACAACTGAACAACAGGGTCTCCCTACACAAAAGTAATATAAAATTGACAGACAACAGAAAACTTTTTTGTATCACAACACATTTTCAAATGTAACCAGGGTAAGTTTAATATCATGCCGATATATCAAACAGACAATTACTCGTATCTACAAATACAGGAAAAAAAACTTTATAGACAAATTCAAACCCGAACTGAATAGATCGTAACCCCCACCAAAAAAAAAAAAAAAAAAAAAAAAACATGCACACAGGGTGACCAAATACAATGATCGCTTTCACATGCATGGACGCACACTCATATACAGGAGACACGAGGAGAGATATATATATATATATGTACACATACATACATTTATGTATGTATATGCGGATGTTGACAAAGTTCGTGTGTGTGTGTGCGTGTGGAATGTTTTTGTGTGTGTGTGTGTGTGTGTGTACTGGTTCCATGTAGCTTGGTAAATATGTATGTATATGTGTGTGTACTGACTACTTGTGGTGGGATAGTGTGTATGTGCGTATGTGTGTATATGCGTGTATAATATACAAATAAGTTTACGAATTCCTCGTAGTATTTAAATATATACGCACGCATATATACACGCATGCTGACAGGAACACGCCAAAATAGAAACAGATCCAAGAGCACATAGAGGTCACTAAAACATTAAAAGATTAAATGCCGATAACTACTCGCTGGACAAACCTTAATTGTTTTATGACCCTTCACGCAGAACTCTTCATTGACAATTCTAGAAAGAAAATTCGGATTGCCAACACACAAACAGAATGTCTCATATCGAGAATATTCCACATTGAACATGAAGAAAAATTAATTATTTTTTAATAATATTAAAAAATCTCCACTTTCACCTGAAGACGGTTGGAGACCAGACCAGAAACACGTGTCGTGAAATTATGTAAAACAAAGTATAATATTTTTTCTCAATAAATCCACATTACAACCAAAAAACGTTTGCGGAACCCTCTTCTTTTTAATATACATACTTTTTCTCGTTGGAACCACTACAACATATTTCCTTTATATATATATATATATATATATATATATATATATATATATATAAACAAATGTTTGGAGCTACAAAATTTATAAATAGTTTTAAAAACTAGGAAACCATTGATTTTAATATTAAAAGTCTCTAGAGCCCTTTCAGCCAACATCTCATCAGGAGACAATCGTTGGATTAGCGAAATGAATAATATATATATATATATATATATTTCCAATGAATCGTATCCCTTACCTGAAATCGAACACTGACTGCCTCTTAATGAGACAACCATAAAACTATTGCATGCCCCCACCCTAGTCCATAAAACGCGACAGAACAGCAGTTAATTGGTAAATCGATTATAAAGACCGTTCATTTCACTTCGAAATAATGAGCATTACCGAAGCGATCGCAAGAAAGACGCTGGAAAGGCCAACAATGTTATTTCGATATCGAATACTGAACAGCTGAAGGTGAATCGTGGGAGAAAATGGCGAGAACAAAGGACTGAGTCGCAGAAGATTACGGCGAAAATCTTTACCGCGGGAAATCATTGCCGAAATGAAATGATTACAGGGAATTAAGGTCCTCGATTAAAACTTATCATTAAGTCAAGACGAAGATGACTGCCAGAGATACGTGAACATTAAAAATTCTCAGCGAATACAATGTTCTTCGGGGCCGGGTAAAAAAAAATTCGAGATTATAAAGAAAAAATATAACTGATTAAGAATATCATTTGTTGCGACCCACGAAGTACCTCACATAACTGTGATATTTCCCAGTGGCTGAAGAGGACCGTATATAAGCGTAAAGGACGGTTGTGGAACCAAGTCGGTAGGTAGGACTGGGTTGAATCAGGCTAGCGGTTAATAGCATGATAAGTGCAATTGTCGTCGGTAATACTATTTCTAGCCTTTTGCGGTTAGTCTAACGTATATGAATTAATCCGAGTTCAATTCCCGCGTTAGTCTGTTGCATTCCCTTTCTCACTAATGGCTTCGGGAAAGATATAAATCCATCTGGTCTTTCTCCCACCTCTGAGTTAATAACGGCAAATTGGACTAGCATTTTGGGTTTCTTGTAATGGAAATCGTTCCAACACTGTTATCGAAAAGGTTTGAGTTCAATTGAAACGGTTCTCAATCTGCTTTAATCTTCTTTTTATACTAACGGCCTCGGAAAAAGTATGAATCCATCTGGTCTTTCTCCCACCTCTGAATTAATAACGGCACACTGGACTTTCTAGCCTTTTGGGTTTCGTGTATTAAAAATCGTTCGGGGGGTTACATGGAAATTAACTCTGAGTTCAATTATTGTAATCTATTGTTACTGGCTTTGAATAACAACCTCGGAAAAAGTATGAATCCATTTGATCTTTCTCCCACCACTGAGTTAATAAGGGCAAACTTGAATTTTTGGCATTTTGTGGTTCGTGTAATGGAAATCGTTCCGGGAAGTGGTATCGAAATTTACTGGAGCTCAATTTCCGGGCTAATCTTCTGTAAGCACTTTCATACTAATGGCTTCGGAAACAGAAGACTGTCCTCTTTAGCCTATTACGGTTTGCCAACGCATATTATTTCGGATTTTTATCGAGATTAATTCTTTTGTTCAGTTCCCAGGTTAGTATGTTTATTTTAGATTTTTCTCACTAATGGCCTGGGGAAAGGTATGAATCTCTATCTTCTTTTAGCGTAGCATATGAGATATATATAAATAAACTCTCTTCCCTCGGGTGGCAATCAGTATAAATGAAGGAAAATTCTGAATTTCAAAATGTAGAAACAGTAAATGAATTTCCCAATAAGTGGTGACTGTTTTTAATTCTAAACATGTTTCTCTCATATTTTTGATTATATTCTATGCTTCTTGTTTATCTTGAATGCATTTCTATCGTTTCTGTTTTGTTGCTGCTTTTGCTTTTGTCTAACCAATCTCTGTCAATTCTCTATATTTATTCAGTCTTCACTTGTTTTATAGGGTCTTTTGATCGAATATTGCACCAGCCAGACCAGGCGGATTTTTTGCTAAAAACAACTTTCAGTTTTTGGACCCATATTCTGGTTTCCAGAATCTTTATCCAAATCAACGTCGGGATACTGTAGGCGAAAGTAAGAAGCATGTTACGACTGTGGCTAATAAGGATCCTGAAAGTGAAACATTTCAGAACGTCTTGAAAAGTGAAAAAGACGGAGAGAAAATCTATGATAAATCAGAAGAGAAAGGACATGTGATATTGCCTTAGGTAGGTTATTTCTTTTACTAGTATACCATTGTATACTTTCCCTCGCTGGTTCCCAGACTTCAATTAAGTTCAAGCCAAATAAAGGCTGGCATCCCGCTCTCACCCTTTCATTCTCGAAACTACTAAATTGCGCTGTTTCTTCTACTCCAATAGCTTCCTACTCGCACCTCTCGCCTGTGGAACTCCCTTCCCCTATTCAGTTTCCCTGCCAATTTCAGTCTATCCAACTATTCAAATTTAATGTCAACTAACATCTCCAGTTGCCTTGATCTACCAACTATCCTTCTCCTCGATGACCTCTATGTCTCCTATCTGATCTTGCTCCAAATCTACTTTAACAGGTCATCCTAGTGGCTTTCGCCTTGCTTGGGGTGAAATATCAAAAAATCATCTCTGCCAATGTGAGATATATGGGTATATAGTTGGGCGATGGAGATGAAATTTGATGGCCTACAAAGTAGCTCAAAATAGGTTGTGCAACCTGATCACGTGGTCACCTCATGAGTATTTTTGTATATATAAATATTAGGGCGGTGTGTATAATTATTTACTCAGAGTTATAACCCCCTTATCATCCATCCACAAGGTTGTTATGGTCCGGTTCCTTGTACCACGGTGATAGTCCAAGGTAGAACCAATAAAGAAGAACTCGAACACGGATAAGGAATAACACAGATATATTACAAACAGGAATATATACAGAGAAGTAGAAAGGTGTTAGTACGAACAATCAGGTTTAGTAGTAATTGTCTGAACACGACTCTGTTTCGGACTGCCTCTGACTCGACTGACTGACTCCTGACGGACTTCACTCTAGCTTCAGACTGAACTCGAGACTTCAGACGGAACAGTATTTAGTCACCCGCCCCCCACGAGGGCATCATGTGGCACAAGGCCGGTTTAACGTCGGATCTCCGAGCCCGTGGGTTCGGCCAAAAATATGCCCTTTGAACCCGTATAAACGGGTTCAGGGTCGTTTTACCTCCCCGAAAGAGACTCCGCCCTTCGGCGTAGCCTCGTTCGGGTTCTTCCCCGCCCGAAGGCAGAGAGTTCCAACCGATCAGCCGGTCGCCCGACTTCAGCTGGAACTCTCTGCTTCCTCTTGAGGCACAGTATTTATTACGTATGGAATAGTCCATTATGTTATTATGGGTAAGGTCCCATAACAAAGGTGAAGGAAGAAACGGAACTTCAATATATTATTTCTTCCTTTATTTTCCCTTCTTTCTTCTTTGCTTTTTTTTAACATTTCTTTCTTCTTATCTCCCCTCTTTATTTCTTTACCATTTTTATTTTCATCTTCTTTCTCTTTTCTTTCTTTCTTCTTTAGGCTTACTGACACATCAAGAAACAGCGGTTAACTTACAAATACCGAAGTTAAGCAACGTTGAGCCTGGTCAGTACTTTGATGTTTGACTGCTTGGGAATACCAGGTACTGCAAGCTTTGATGTGCTAGTGGTATAATGGATAATGGCTCGGAAGTGTTAAACGAATAACCGAATTCCAATTCCCATTGGGTTCAGTTAATGCGCAAATACTCTTGGAAATCTTATGAATGTATCTATTCTCTCCCGAGCGATGGGTTAATTAGTAAGAGTTTTATCATTATCTCAAAAAAATTGTTACAATCTAAAAATATTATGCCTTTAAATAACTTGCAAAACGGTTGATAAACCGTAAAATCAAGCAATCAGTTTATTGTTTGATCTTTTCTTTCTTCTTTTCGTTTCTTTTTCTTCATTCGGATCCACATTTTTCCTCGCATTTTATCTTTTCTTTTTTTTTCTTACTTTGTTTTCTTCAATCTTTTCTCTTTTTTTCTTTCACATTCTTTTTCTTTCCCTCTCTTTTCTTTCCTTTCTTTTCTTTATTTTCTTTTCTTTTTTTTCTTGTTTGCTTCTCTCGTTCTCTACTTACCCTCATCTATCTTTTGTTACTTTTTCTCCTACCCTCCTTTACCCCGCTTTCCAACTCCCCGTCTTTCTTCGTTTCTTTCTTTTCGTCTTCCAATCTTTTCTCTTCACAATGATTTCTCTTTATTTTCTTCTTCATATTTTTACCTCTTTTTTAACTCATTCCTTTTTATTATATTTTACCGTATTTGTTTTTTTGTAATGATGTTCACCTTATACAAGGCCCAAAAGCCACTCGATGTAGAAATGTTACAGAGTAAGTGTCACTACCCAAAACCATGTCTCTTCCTTGGTGACTCATTCTTATGTCCGTAGATCAAAATTAAAATCGCTTTAGCAAATAACGATTCATCGTCATTGTTGCGGTCTGTCTATTGAAACAAAGCAGACCGGTTCCGCTCACGGTGGCTGGGTTCACGTTTGCCTGATTCGACCAACAATGGAATAGTGCACAATTCTGCAATGGGTCATCTAAAGAAGCTGGATGGAAATAGAGGAATTATTCAGCGTGTTTGTGGGGAATATGCGTGTAGAAGTGAAGAATTAAGTTAATCTTCAAACACGGATCTACAGATGTCAATAATTCTATTTATTTAAGTATTATTATCTTTCAAAATGAAAGAAAGGGATTACAAACTTTCTTTGGGAGCAACTTCATAAAATATATTTTGTGTATCATTTTTTACGGTACAAAATATAGTATAGCAAAAACAGAAAATACATCAACATGTGTACGGATGTATGTGACACGAATTTACGTTCTTTTCTCTGTGTATATAAATGTACAGCAGTCGAGCGCATGAAAAATACAGGGGACCTATCTGCTACTATTGCTCATGTAAACAAACTTATCCTGCATGTTTTTCTTTTATGTTTAAATATTGCTATGCATTTTTTAATATTATATACTCGAACAAAAATGCGAAAAATGTAATTAAGTGTGCGAATTTCAGTTTTGTTTGTGTGACAAACGAACGAACAAACACCTGGTCAAAGGTTCACTGTAAGACTAGTAGCGAAGAAGAATTGTTCATATTAATAATAATTATATAATGGGCTCCGCAAGAAATCAAAAATTAGATTTATTAATCTCAATCTTATTGGTTAATAAATATTTTCCCATTTTTTAAATATACCTTTTAAGGAGGGAAATTATTGTCGATCATATTATGAAGTTAAGCCTTACGACATACACCTCGTCTCGTTCCTACGTTTTTTTTCTTCTATTTGGGAGGCGGATCCATTTTTTGTTGGAAAAGGTAAGTTAAAATTTTGTCCACATGTCCCATTTTGTATTGTTTATTGTCATTTGTCGTAATATCCGCGTCTTTGCTGTGTCGTGAACTTTGTTTTGTGTGGGCTGGCGTGGAAATCTCTTCACTATGGTGGAGTCTCAAACACAGCAGCCAGCGTCTGCAACACCCTGCAGTATCGACATAGGCCTTTAATATACCAAAGAAAAAGTGACCTGAAGACTACGTTGCCCTTCAGGAAAAGTATTCAGTATATACGAAGGTCAGTTTCCATGTTGACGAGCGGTGTGAAAAAACACGTCAGCACATTGGTCCAGCAGGTACACCATGGAGAAGGCGATGAAAAATACAAATACAGCCAAAGATCCTTTCCAAGAGGTCCAATGCCATGTGGGACATCTTACTGGCATGTGAGGTGGAAACAAAAAAAGGGCGGGCAGCAAACAGACAAGCAAACTGAATACATGAACACTCAGATGACCAGGTGAGGCTACACTGGGTGCTCATGGATCTGACAGAAGAGCGACTGGGGGTATTCTTCGTCAGTTTTGGACAAGTTGGTGATGTCTCAGCTGTAACTAGTAAAAGCGGACATTGCGACGGGAGAATACGTCCTTCAGATCATATTGTCCTCCGGTGCGCCTGTTCTGGGACTATGTCGGCGAGTTGACACTTCGTATCCGTTAAACGAACAACTTGTATCCATCGATCTTACATACGCGTACGATAAGCCCCCCCGCGTATTCTGGGGTGAAACGGGTGGTGTTTCTAACATTGCTAGCCGTGGCAAGAATTGTGGAGTGGACGTCGCGAATGGCGGGATACTAGCGATACGAACAGGATCTAGTCGGAGTCTTTGAGCATCAGTTAAATCATATTGATGATACGTTAGGCTATCTACGCGTATTAACCGGTAAAAAAAAATTTGAAATTGGGAAAGAATTCATATTATGTAATGACTTTGAATTCTAATGGCCACTACCAACGAAAAAATCAGGATTTTTCAGCTTGATAAATAACACTGGGTGAGCATATTCCAGATTAAACAGGTTTGGGTGAGGGGTGAATTAATATGCCCAGCAAAAACACACACACACAAACACACACACACACACACACACACACACACACACACACACATATATATATATATATATATATTTCTGAAATATATATGTACATTATTTATATTATTCGGACTACTGTCCTCATCTTTGTCGCCATAAATAAATAAATAAATATGGCGACAGAGATGAGGACAATAGTCCGAATAATATAAATAATATACATTATGTAATATAATATATGTAAAATAATAATAATAATATATATATATATATATATATGTAAATAATCTAATATATATATATATATATATATATATATATATATATATATATATATATATAATTATAGATAACTAGACTCGTTTCGAAAAACCTTCGAATTTTGATTTGCTAATAATCAAATCAATCTCGAGGAAAAAAAAAGGTTTTAAAAAAAGAAAGAGATATAAACATGAACTTCTGTCGACAAAAAATCGCACAGATACAGGTTCAAAGCCCAAAGAAAAAACCCTGACACGAGTAAACAACTAACTAACAAAAGAGCTCAATACAACCGTAGAGCAGACCTAGATACACCTAGTGAGCCTGACAAACCTACTCGATCATCAGGAAAGTAAGGCTTACTTTCCTGACGATCCGTTTAGGTGAAACCTAGGTAGGTTTGTCTGGCTCACTAGGTATATATATATATATATATATATATATATATATATATATATATATATACGTGTACCTACTTGTTGGTGTGCGACTATAGTTTTGATGGGTGTTTCCCAGGTCATCGGGCACAGGATCTATGTTGCTGGAAGTAAACAAATGGCTCATGGGATTTTCACTGCTACGTAGCGAAAAATGTTGCGCAGAAGTGTGTTAAATGCGATGGTGGTGAGTTACAGTTTTTCAGAAATTCGCGAAATGTGACGGGAGTAAAGAAGTGAAACTATAGTCGCACCCCCAACACGTACGTACACATATATGTATTAATTAATATATACTTTCGCTCTGTATAATCGCATCGAGCACTATCACGCTTACACGTCATGCATAAATGCGATATACATATATATATATATATATATATATATATATATATATATATATATATGCAAACGTGCTTAGGCAAGCTTATGAGAAAAAACAACGAAAATCAAGTTAAATACAATAAAATTAAAATAAACAATAATCAGACGTGTTCATTATTTACATTATTCGAACTATTGTTCTCATCTTTGTCACCATATTTATTACAACGTTTCGGTCGTTGCACGCTCCGGCCTTCTTCAGGTGTCCTCAGGGATAGATGCTAATGAACTATTTAATTAATTCGTTTCCCATATGTTTTTTAGATGTTCAATAGTATCCATGGTTCATTGATTACTCCTGGTATTGTACAAGTCAAATTGGCTCAATATCTTTTCATGTTAAAATGTTAGTTAGATCCAGTGACAGAACTCAAAGATTGTGAGTTCAATACCCGGTTAAGGCAGTGGAGAATTTCAGAGGAAAAATTAACAGGAGATAACTGACAACTGACATCCATTAAACATGGCACGTGGAACTAGAACAGTCTACCCCATTGAGTGAAATAAAGGGTTCAGTTCGACTTTCCAACAACCTGAAGAAGACCGGAGCGTACAACGGCCGAAACGTTGTGATAAATATGGCGACAAAGATGAGGCCAATAGTCCGAAAAATGTAAATAGTGTACAAAATATCTCATCTCAGAAATATAGGCAGATATTCAGTTCGACATTCCAACCACCTGAAGAAGGCCGGAGCGTACAAAGGCCGAAACGTTGTAATAAATATGTCGATAAAGATGAGGACAATAGTCCGAATAATGTAAATAGTGTACAAAATACCTCATCTCAGAAATATAGACAGATGTTCAGTTCGACATTCCAACCACCTGAAGAAGACCGGAGTGTACAACGGCCGAAACGTTGTAATAAATATGGCGACAAAGATTAGGACAATAGACCGAATAATTTACATAATACCTCATCTCAGAAATATAGACAGATACAGAAGTGTTCATTTCAGCGATACTAATGTCCAAATCTTAAAACTGACAGTGTCAAGCATGCCGGCTTAGAAATTATTTCGAGAATATTCCAGTTTGTTCTTTTCCTTATCATATTTCTTTACTTTTTTAAAGATATCTTCATGAGTTTCGACCCTCCAATAGTAACTGATATTATTTTTACTTTCATATGTCCCGATATATTTTGGTTCAGATATATATATATATATATATATATATATATATATATATATATATATTGCCTTTCTCTAACACACAGTTTTAATCTGACGTCTGAAGAAACAATATCTAATGTCTGAGAGAACACCTCTTTGTTCACGGTGATTGAATCTAATCTCCAGTGTAATACATTTAAAACTCAGTGTCTCAAAGAATTTTTTCTTTCTCCAGGACAATTTCTTGGTATGTTATTTTTTTTTCCATTCGTGTGCTGGTGTTATGAAGACAACTTATCTTCAGCTAAAACCAGGAGATGGTACTTTTTTAGTTTGAAAAATCAATGACTATATATAATAATACGTGTGCACCCGTGCCGTCAAAAAATGACGGTAATTGTTGCAAAGTTTTAACATTGAGATGCAATGAAACAAAAGTCTTGAAACAATGTACTGAGTAAACTCTAGTCTTGAACAGGTTGCAAGTTTTGGAGATGCACCCATATACCGTTGTATCCTCAACATAGATATGCACAAATGATCAGAGTATACTTTTAGGAAGGTAATTTATGTAAAGTATAAATAGGGCTGGACCAAGATGTAAACCGTGGGCGATGCCCTCGTTGATCGTAAAGACCTCGGAGTACTGGGCGTTAGCAACTACTTTCAGGGACCTACCCGTTAGGAAGGATATTATAATTTTTTTGAGCATTTCAACCCAATCAAGGCAGGAGTGACAATGGTATGAAAAGGGTTACAGAGAGTAAAAATAAGAGAAAAGACTTGAGATTGGGGAAAGGATAAAAAGAGAAACGGTGACCAGGAAGATTACGCTTGACACAGCATTTAATTTTTTAAAGATTGTAGTTATCAGAGAAGAATGAAAGAGGAAGGGAGTTCTACTGTTGGGAAGTGTAAGAGAAGAAACTGTGGGAATAGAAGTGGCGGTTACATTTAACCGTTTCAACAGTAAAAGGATGGGACCTAAATGCCAACCTAGTAGCACGCTTAAAGTCACGTAATCAGGACACCAGGAAAAATAGCTCGCCAGAGCAGTAGCAATGAAAATATTTGTAGAAAAGACAGAGGGAAGCCGCATCATGTCTTTGAGAAAGTGACTGGAGTCGAGATGCCAAACCAGAACATTGCAAATCCTTCTTTGGATTTTGTCGAGGACCTCGAAATGAACAGCAAGATCACCAGACCAGATGTGGCTACAGTATTCAATGTATGTACGAACGGTAGATTTGTAGTTGTGTAGGATGGAATCAGACGAGAACAACTTTCTGGCGTGACACAGAGAACCACCTTTCCTTGAGGTAGATGTAGCTGTTGATTCAATGTAGTTGTTCAACCTCAATGGAAAATGTGAGGCCAAATGGCCCAGGGAGTCGAGCATCAATCATGCTGATATGGGCCAGAGAAGTTTCTCTATGCTGGTTAAATGAGAGCAGTTTCGTTTTGGAGGCATTAAAATTTGCAAGCCATTTCCTGCCCCAGTTAACCACTGATTGGAGGTCTTTTTAGAGACTACCGGCCAGATTAGCTTTGTCAGCATTGTCGGATTTACTTCCAGTGATTCTGTAGCTAGAGATCTTGTGGAGTAACCCTTTATGCTACACCTTGGTAAAGTATTTTGAAATATCAAATATGTATTTGTTGTTTAGCGTACCTCATTGATTCCGACAGATTCTCTCGGAATTTTATTTGACATTTTTAATGTAAGGGGCTCCGAAGGCCTCCGAGGGCCTCCGAAGGCCTCCACATGTCTTTGTTAAATACAACATAAAAGAAATAATAACATCTCTGAATAAAATCGCGAACAATCAACAGATTTTTTTTTTCTATCTGTCTCTTACATTTTTATCAGGAATAAGTTTCGATTTTCTAATATATTGGGATCACTACACGCACAGCATCAAAATTTTTAGGTGCTTCCGACCTGTTCTAAGATTCGTTGGTTTAATTTATCATCTAATAGCATAAATGTAACCGTAAGTTCTATGCTAAGAGTCTCTTCTCTCGCACTTCTTACTTGTGGAACAAACGACCTGCTTCTTTCTACCTAGTCAACTTTGATTTTTCAATAATTTAAATGCAATATCAATCGTTATCTTCCGTTTTCTTATTTCTTCTTCTTTTATTGTCTTCCCTCCTTCATAGGATATTTTTTCTCATCATTTCTAACCTTCTTGCGTCTAAGTGGCTTTATTGGCTTCTTTAGGGTGAAATGATTAAAAAAATATTTCGAAGTTGGTGATCTGTGTTTAAATGAACGACAACATATTCAATTTATAAAATTATTGAAAAGACGTTTTTGAGAGGGTTTAAAGAAAATTAATTCTCAGTAGAATTGGTTTATACAAAGAATTCCATCATGCTGTGCATTCACGTGTGGGTTTTGGAGCCTGGCAATTATGCATTGGGTATTCTACTGGATGCGCAGAGAAAATGTAAAACGTGAAACGGAATCGTTAGATCAACGCCCTACGAACCAATTATATAAAGGCCAATATCAAGGGGATAAAAGAGAATAGGATAGTTGGACTAGGTAGGTAGAGATGACACCATCAAACACAAAATAAGTGAAGACAACTATAAAAGTTGGCATAAATAAACATGACTGAGTAGGAACGGCATTCTGTTAAGAAGTGTGCAAGATCCAAGCGCTCAAACTACTAGACAGGATCTTATTATTATGAAGGAGAAAAAGTTTCAGATTGTCGATTTTTCATGTCCTTTAGACCAGAGCGCAAAATTATGAGAAATTAGATCATTACTTCGGTAAACAACTGTTATAATGAAATATGAAGATGTAACTATCGTTATTTGAGTACTAGAAATGATTACGAAAAACACAGGAGGAACTTGAAATAAATAAATGAATCGTATTTAACCAGTCAGATTAACTCCTGGATAAAGGTTAGAATACTGAGGGAAGTGCTGGTGATTTCAGGGGAGTTACTGTCATAAGTGTTATGGTCCGGTTCCTTATATCACGGTGATAGTCCAAGGTAGAACCAATAAAGAAGAACTCGAACACAGGTATGGAATAACACAGATATATTACAAACAGGAATATATACAGAGAAGTAGAAGTGTTAGTATGAACAATCAGGTTTAGTAGAGAGAACAATGTACTCTCGACCAGTATCTCTATTCCAATGTCTTGCAGTAATTGTCTAAACGCGACTCTGTTTCTGACTGCCTCTGATTCGACTCTTGACTCGACTTGAACTACTGACTGACGATATTCAGTTACTCCCCCACTGGGGCATCATGTGGCACAAGGCGGGTTTTTTAACGTGGGATCTCCGAGCCCGTTGCCTCGGCCCAAAAATATGCCCATTGAACCCGTATAAACGGGTTCAGGGTCGGTTTACCTCCCCGAAAGAGACTCTGCACTTCGGCGTAGCCTCGTTCGGGTTCCTCCCCCGCCCGAAGGCAGAGAGTTCAACCGATCAGCCGGTCGAGACTTGAACGACTGACGATATTCAGTCACCTCCTAACTGGGGCATCATGTGGCACAAGGCCGGTTATTTAATGTGGGATCTCCGAGCTCGTTGACTCGGCCCAAAAATATGCCCATTGAACCCGTATAAATGGGTTCAGGGCCAGTTTACCTCCCCGAAAGAGACTCCGCCCTTCGGCGTAGCCTCGTTCGGGTTCCTCCCCGCCCAAAGGCAGAGAGAGTTTAACCAATCAGCCGGTCGACTAAGATCGACTTGAACTACTGACTGACTTGAACTACTCCTGAGGCGCAATATTTATTAAGTATGGAATTATTATGGGTAAGATCCCATAACAATAAGTATCCAGTGTGATCTTAAGTGAAACATCTAATTTCAAAACGGTCGGCTTTATTACCTTAAATCATTTTTGTTCTGTTTATTAACTTCCCCACCGTTCATATAGATAGATAGATAGATAGATAGATAGATAGATAGATAGATAGATAGATAGATACTGAACGGACTGCGATAGATAGATAGATTTCATAAATTTCAAACGACAGCAGCCCTAGCTGCTCATTCAATGAATGCCAAATGCTTTCTCCTAGGGAAACGACTAATGTTACCCTTACACTTACCATTGTGCTAGTTCAATCGTATCTTTAAATCAGTTTAATGATCAGCCAATGACTTCTGACAGTTGCGGTCAAGTTGAAGTTTCTAATGTCATGAAATCCAATTGGCAAAACTAAAAAAAGAAAATATTTCGCTAAAGCTATTAGCAATCAATTACCTTTTTTATTGAAAGAAGTTTGCTGGCATTCTGGGTCCTTTGGACCATTCCAATAAAAGATAATATAAAAGAGTCTGAGACATAAAAGAATACTGGACAATTTCCAAAAATAATCTATCTTCTATCAACTACTTGGAATCTCCTCTTAAAAAAAGCCATCTTGGTGTGGAGCCACTGAAAAAAAAGAAGTGGTATTGGTGAGGAATTAATTCTTATCAATTATGGTTTTTAAAAACACTATCAAAGGCCAAAAATCTTCGACCTGAAAATCGTTTTTCAAATATTACGCTCCTTTAAGACATGAGTGATCATGATTCTCCACGACTTCCTATTTTATAATATGTGGATTGTCATGTCTTTTTAGGAAACGTCATGGAAGTGGGTTCTCTTTTCTTTCCTAAACTGTTTTATATTATGAGTAGTCCTCATAGACTGGTTTCCAGCCAAAGCTTTAGAGAGGTGTTCACTCTGTTATTTAACCCATAGCTGAGGAGGTGGTGATAAGAGATGATTTCATGCACTTCATAAGAGAAAAATTGAAAAATTGAAACGTAGCAGGCTATGCTGAAATTAGAACCCGTTTCGCTGATGCAGTTTCCGCGACGTCAGCAAACCCGCGTTCGTACATTGTCTTTTTACTATCTTTTTCTCTCTTTTTCTTTTTCCACTTTCTGATTCTCTCTCTCTCTCTCTCTCTCTCTCTCTCTCTCATTTTCTCTCGTTTTATCTTTCTTTCCCCCTTTCTATTCCTTACCTAATTTTCATTTAATCCACTTCCTCTGTCCCATAATAGTTGGTACATTTGCTGACACATTTCATACAATAAATGTAACAAATTATTACTGGACAGGGATAGTACATTTTTCCTTAATATTTTTTTCTGATTTTTCTTTATATATATATATATATATATATATATATATATATATATATATATATATATATATATATATATATATATATATATATAGTACAAGTAATCGATCTGTTGATATATAATCCGGGAGGATTAAAACTGGTCCACAGAGAGCAAGATGATGTTTTTTTTTTTTTTATTTATTTTAACAGAGCATATGTATTTTTTAAAAAAAAGACAAAAAATACATATATATATATATATATATATATATATATATATATATATATATATATATATATATATATATATATATATATATGAAATGGACAAAGTGAAACAATTATTTTAAGACATTTTATGTTTATACATTCTTTTATCGATACAAATATAAATATTTAACTTAAATATTTGTATCTATAAAAAGAATATATAAACCTAAAAATGTCTTTAAAATATATATATATATGTATGTGTGTATGTATATATATATATATATATATGTACATATCCAGACGCCTAACGTTACACCTATCTGATCACAGCTCCATTAGAACGCATTTAAACACACACACAAACTTAGCAGATTTCATTCGAAACATACTATTAGAAAACACAAATATAATAACTTCATCCACTTGTAGAAAAAGATTAAAAATAATGGAAGCTTTAATAATAAAAAATAAAAAGCCAACTCTTAACAATATTAACTATGAACAAGGCCACAATGTGCTAACTGTATTCGGAAATTAAAACATCTCTATAACACACTAAAACATACACATAATGCACACACTCAATTAATTTGAAAAATTGAATCATCCTTGATAATGGCTAATGGTATAGCCGAAAGCGCTTGGAACTATAAAACATTTGTACAGTTTTTACTCTTTGTCCAGAAAAGAAAGCTCTTGTTCGAATACAAGAAAAATCAAATAAAAAGCTTAACCGTGGTACCTTGTCTGTCGTTTTTAATGTAATATGCATAAACGAACGATTGCTGCCTAAATATACAAATATATATATATATATATATATATATATATATATATATATATATATATATAAATAACTGGCTACCACACAAGGCTGCAGAGCACTGTTATGATCTAGAGACTGAGGGAAAAGAGAGAGGTACCACTCTCATTTCTAACACTATTAAAGTTTCGCTGATAAGGAAGATCTGTTATTTCGAATTGTGTTATTTTGATATGGCGTTGTGTTATTTTGATAAGACATACTGCTATTTTGATATGGCATATAAAATGCCATTGAAGACGTGACTGTAGGAAACAGAATATCACGTGAGAAAGAACGAAATGTTAACAAGAACAGAAACAAAATGGATACTTCAGTATCTGTCTAAATTTCTGAGATGAGGCATTATGTACACTATTTACATTATTCGGACAACTGTCCTCATCTTTGTCGCCATATTTATTACAACGTTTCGGCCGTTGTACGCTCCGGTCTTCTTCAGGTAGTTGGCACAGTGGATAAAGGCGTTAGTTAGATCCAATGGCAGGACCCAAAGAGTCTGAGTTCAAAATCCGGTTAAGGCGGTGGAGAACTTGGAGAGGGAATTAAGCAGGAGAGAACTGATAACTGACATCCATTAGACATGGCACGTGGAACTAGAACAGTCTACCCCAGTAAGCGAAATAAAGGGTTCAGTTCGACACTCCAATCATCTGTAGAAGGCCGGAGCGTACAACGACCGGAACGTTGTAATAAATATGGCTACAAAGATGAAAACAAATGTCCGAATAATGTAAATAGTGTACAAAATACCTCATCTCAGAAATATAGGCAGATGTTCAGTTCGACATTCCAATCACCTGAAGAAGGCCGGAGCGTACAACGACCGGAATGTTGTAATAAATATGGTGAAAAAGATGAGGACAATAGTCCGAATAATGTATATAAGGTAAATGGATACTTGTATAGGAATCAGAAAAAGAGTTGAAATTTCTAGAGTGTATAATGGGAAAAGGCAGCTTAGAATATTTAACACTGACATGAAAAGGACAGAACAGGGATTAGGAGAAAACAGCAAAAAGAGCTACAGAGAAGAGGAAATGGTGGAGAACCATGATCGACAACGTCCTGAAAAGCGACGGCACATTGTACAAAAACAAGAAGAATGATGTACGAGGTTGCGGATTTATTGATACATCTCGCACGAACCTACTCTACGTGGGTGCATATACGTATGTTTGCTTATATTTGAAGGAAACGAATTGCTGTGTATGGGTGAAGTGGGGGAGGTGTCAAGAATGTCCGTGGGATCGGCTGATATGATAAAATGCGACTCCCATGGAAATGTGTGAGAGTGTGAAAAAGTAAACGGCGGCAAAGTCTGATAAGCCATTTGCAATGAACCTCATCTCCTCGTGAGATATCTACATCGGCGAGAAGTTCAGAAAGCCCGTCTGTTGCGCTCTGACACCGGTTCCTCACTAGATAGCAGCACTGTTCTACCCTAACCCTAACCCTACCCCACAGAACCATTCTGCGGGAATGGCATTTCTCAACATCGCAGGCTAAATATAGTCATTCATTTGAAATTCAATGTCCAAGTCCGTCTGCTTTCATTTCTATGATCATTTTTGTGTTTTTCGAAAGATGGTGAAGCCCATGTCATTGCGTATATATTTTGAGTCAACAAAACGACACACACGATCGATAATATAGAATTGTAAAAAAAAAAAAAAAAAAACCAAAATTTAGAAAGATTTGCAAAATAAGGATTAGTGTAAAGAAAAATGTAATTTTTATTTGTCGATAATCCATTAGCGATTAATATTATTATTTATATTAGTACTAGATTGGCGGTTAGGTCTCACCATTTGATTTTTTTTAATCGCTTTCACCCCATGCAAGACATTAATACCCCCAAAACACAAGGGGCTGCTGAGTATGGAAGAATTATGAACAGAAACATTAATAATGATTGCGAATAGAAAAGATTAGTCAGAAGAACAGTAGATAGCGATTGACGTTGTATTTAAGCTCTTGCAGATTAAAGTTGGCTGCAAATCATGAAGCCGGAAAGGAGTTCCACAAGAGAGAAGTGAGAGGAAGGAAACTGTTACCATAAAACTTACGGTTACATCTAGCCAGCTAAACTGTAAATTGATGAGATCTCAACTCCATTGTAGTACTGCACTTAAATTCGAAATGTCTAGGCAACATAGCGAAGAGCATTAATTATTTGTAATATTTGCAAAATGTGGCACAAGGCCAAAAATGACCCGGTATGACAATAAACTACATCCACATCCTGGATTAGACGATATACGACGTCCAACAGCAAGGTCTCTAATCAGGAGGTTTTGAGGAGCGTGGAACCACCTCTTAATTGCTGGTGTTCCCAGGTCCACCTTGACCCGGAGTGGTAGCACCTGTTAGGGTCCCAGCTATGAGCAAATAGTTAGCGCCCAAACTTTAGTCAAAACACTATGAAAGTGTAAAAATAGGTTCAAATACCAGAAATAATATTATAAAAATTATTACCTGCAATAAATTTTTGAAGGAAAAATTATTACCAGCAATACATTATTACCAGCAATACATTATTGCCAGCAATACATTTTTGAAAAAAAACTATTACAAGCTACACATTTTGGGGAAAAATATTACCAGCGTACATTTTGAAGAAAAAAATATTACCAGTAATAAAAGTTGTCGGCATTAAATAACCCACTGAGCTTGATATGCCGTAAACAAACCAAACCAAACCAAAAAGGGGAAAGGACGGTCTTCTTCTGTCTTCTTTAGCTATCCACAAACACTGACCTAAACATGCAACAATATTTCTTACACCAAAACAACGCATTCTTACTTACCATTCTTACTTCATCCACCATGATACCTTAGAATTTCCATGAAGTCCTAA